CGTCCCGCAGCCCCGGGCGCCCGCGCCGGCACCCGCACCGCCGCCCGCAGCCCCGCAGAAGCAGCAGCCGCCCTCGCCTGCCAGGAGCCTGCGGGCTGCTGAGCAGAGTCGCACCCCCAGCCCTGCCCCGGCCGAGAAGAAGCCCCCGGTGCCAGTAGAGGAAAAGCCACTGCCCAAAGCTGCCCCGGAGCCTTCCAGAGCTCCTGAGAGCACCGTGCTGAAGGGTAAGAGTGTGACCCCCAAACCAGAGGAGGAGAGCAAGGAGACCCGGGCACCCCCCGAGGCACCTCGGGCAAAGGAGCAGGAGGTGAGCTCTGTGGGTGCATCCAGCTCTGAGCATTCCTGGGAATTGCATCCACCCCAGGGCTGGGCTGGCACTGAGCCGTGTGCTCAGAAGCGGGAGGTTGTTCTGAGTTGCAGCAGAAGCAGCGTTGTAGGGGCCATTTGCCTCGGGAAATGGCCTTTGGGGAAAGGGTGAACTCCATAAACTGCTGTCTCTGTACTTCTGAAGCACTTTGGAACTGCACAGGCTCCAGAGCAGCATGCTGATGTTTGCCATCTCTTTATTACAGTTACATCAATTTGGGCATAATGCCCAGGTCATCTTTGGCCTTTGGATTTGTTTTAAAAGAATATAAGGGCAGTTTAATTTGTTGTTCAATGGAAAACTGGTGTCAGAACATTGCACTCTGAAGCAGCAGGCATTTTTCAAGGTCCCAGTCCCACCTTTTTTAAAATTCAGTGCAATCTGGGGGGAGAGCTTGGCTGTGTTGGGATGGTTTTCCCCCATGAGTAACTAGCACAGCCAGTGCAGCCCCCTGTGGGGAGGGGATGCAGCAGGAAGTCCCTACCAGCCAGGAGGGGATGGATGTCCCTGGGGAAGAGGCTCTGGAGGGCATGGACGCCCCCAGGGGAGATGGTCCTCACATCACTGTCTGCTGGCACTTCCAAAACCAAGTAAGGTCCGTGGTGCCTCTGTGCTGGTGGGGTCTGAGGCCCTGCTGGTAGCAATGGGGCCAGGTGCAATGGCACGTTCCCCACGGCTCAGAGGCTTGTCCCTGTGCTACCTAATTGTAATGTCAATTAAAACAGCCTGTTTATTTCTGCTGGCATCTAATGAGGATCCTGGGGGCTGCTGTGTTTCTGAAGGCTGCTTTGCAGAGCTGTCAGTCAGGGAAATTAAAGTTCAATAAAAGGCAGCCACAGACAAATTGCTGACAAGCCACTGAGGGAGAGGACATAGGGTGGCCCCCAACCCTGGTGCTGGGCTGGCTTCCATAGCTGCCCAGATCTTCTGCCTGCTCCCCAGGGAGGATTGGGAGGGAAGCAGTGGGAAGCAGCTCTGGAGGTGCTCAGGTCTGACACTCTGCTCTTCCTCACCCACAGGATGGGAGCAAGCCTTACCTCCCGGACCTGTCCCGCAGCCCCCAGAGCCTGAGCGACACTGGCTACTCCTCTGATGGCATCTCCAGCTCACAGAGCGAGATCACTGGCCTGGTGCAGCAGGAGGAGGAGAAGCTGAGCGGCACTGGGCTGGCTGGGCAGAGCCCCCCCAGCCCCTCTGAGCTCACCAAGCTGGAGAGCAGCATGCGGCCCCTCCTGGAAGGCCGGGGTGCCCCGCCAGAGCCCACCGAGCGTGGCAAGGGTGGCCCAGAGCCACGGGAGGAGCAGCGGCAGCGACAGCGGCCACGGTACCTCTCCATCACCCCTGAAGCCTTTGACTCAGATGAGGAGCTAGAGGACATCCTGGAGGAGGATGAGGACTCGCTGGAATGGGAGAACCAGCGGGAGCGGCGAGAGAGCGCGGAGTCCTCGGATGAGTTTGGCAGCAAGCTGCGGCACGACTACGTGGAAGACAGCAGTGAGGGGGGCTTCTCCCCGGTGCCCCCCCAGCCCAAGGGCCGGGAGGCAGAGGTGAGTGATGAGGAGTTCATGCGAAGGCAGATCCTGGAGATGAGTGCAGAGGAGGACAACCTCGAGGAGGAGGAGGAGGGCTATGGGCGCACCAAGTATAGTGTCCCCAAAGCTGGGCAGAAGGCCGAGGCGGAGAAGGGCAAAGAAGCAGCTTCAGCCAAACGGCGCCTGCCACATGGCCCTGGCAGCCTGTACAAGGAGGAGAGGAAGGAGGTGGAGGCGGTGGAGGGCGAAGACTTGAGCACAACCCAGGGGGGCCTGCGGCGCTTCAAGACCATTGAGCTGAACAGCACAACTGGCTATGGGCGGGAGATGGAGATGGGCAGGGAGGCAGACACCAGCCTGGACCGGGAGCCTGAGCTGGAGATGGAGAGCCTGACAGGCTCCCCCGAGGAGCGCGACCGGGGCGAGTCCTCCTCCGCCCTGCCGGCCACAACACCCAGCTACACCTCAGGCACCTCACCCACCTCCATCTCCTCCCTGGAGGAGGACAGTGATAGTAGCCCCAGCCTCTGGAAGAGGTGAAGCAGCAGAGGAAGGCTCGCCACCGCTCACATGGCCCCTTGCTGCCCACCATTGAGGACTCATCTGAGGAGGAGGAGCTGCGAGAAGAAGAGGAGCTGCTGCGGGAGCAGGAGAAGATGCGGGAGGTGGAGCAGCAGCGCATCCGAAGCACAGCGCGCAAGACCAAGCGCGACAAGGAGGAGCTGAGGGCCCAGAGGAGGAGAGAACGCTCCAAAACCCCCCCCAGCAACCTCTCTCCCATCGAGGATGCCTCCCCCACTGAGGAGCTGCGGCAGGCGGCAGAGATGGAAGAGCTGCACCGCTCCTCCTGCTCTGAGTACTCGCCCTCCATCGACTCAGAGGCTGAGAGCTTCGATGCTGTGACCTCCAAGCTGTACAAGTCGGGCAGTGAGTACAACCTGCCCACTTTCATGTCACTGTACTCCCCGACAGAGAAGGGGGAGAGTGGGAGCCAGCCTACCAGCAAACCTCTCAAGAGTGCTGAGGAAGCCTACGAGGAGATGATGAGGAAAGCAGAGATGATGCAGAAGCAGCAGGTCCAGCAGACCCAGCCGGCTGTTTCCTATGGCAGCACCTGCCAGCAGGTCGGCTACCGTGGCACCGAGGGCCACAATGGCTTTGAATTCCAGTACACCGAGGAGTACCGGTACGATGATGGCCCCCTGCGCCCCTCCCAGCCCAGCTATCCAAGTGCCCTGACGAAGGCAGGAGCAGTGTACCAGGAGATCCTGCAGACCTCCCAGAGCATCTCCAGGATGCACCGGTCCTCCTCTTTTGACCTGGCCCTCGAGCAGGGGGAGAAAGCAAAGGGGCAGGTGGAGGCATACCAGGACAAGCACTTCCTCAACGCTGAGAGCGCCTATGCTGACCTGATGAAGCAGAACGGCAGCCCACTCACCCCTGGCACCAGCCCCACACAGCTCTCCGCTCCTGTCTCCTTTGCCACCTCCGACAGCAGCACAGGCAAGGTCATTCCTGATGTCCGAGTCACCCAGCATTTTGCAAAAGAGGGGCAAGACCTGGCCAAGAGCACCCCAGCAGCACCCAGCCTGGCATCCAAGGCTGTCACCACTCCTTACACCTACAGCAAAGACAGCAAAGGTGCCAGTACAGTGACAACCGCTGTGGGTGGCCCCGGGAGCACAGCACGAAGCTACAGCTCCCCAGCCCCAGATGCCCCATCAGTAGGCAGCAGAAGCTACAGTCCAGCGAAGAGCACCATCAGCTATGGCTCACAGACAGAGGACATCGGCAGAAGCAAGGCAGTGGTGGAAATCAGCGTGCAGACAGCCAGGGAGAAGGTCCCAGCTGTGAGCGACAGCAAGCCCCTGCCACCCAAAACCTACCCCTTCTTCAAGAGCTCCAGCCCTCCACTCTCGCCCACCTCCCCAACACAGAGTCCCACCCGCACAGCAAAGGCCACAGCAGAATTTTCCACACAGACTCAGAGCCCCCTCCTCCCTTATGAGGGTCCCACCACTGGCACCTCTTCCCCCATGGTGGCACAGGGGACACAGACGTCGCACCGGGCAGGCTCGCCACGCCTGACCCGGCAGCCCTCCTCGCAGGATGCCCCTTTCATGCTGATCACACTGGCAGCTGATGCAGCCAGCCAGACCAAGCCGGTCAGCTCCGGCTCCCCGACATCCCCCACCTCATCCCCCACCTGGGCCAGCCAACAGCTGCTAGCGCATGGCTACAGCCAAGTGCCAGAGCCAGAGCAGCCACCAGGCACCTACATCAGGGCACAGCCAGTGAAGGAGCACGCCCAGAAGGCACCTGCCGTGACTTCAGCCACTGACAGCATCACAGGGCTGTACAGCTGGGGAGCACTTCCTGCAGAAAACATCTCCCTCTGCCGCATCTCCTCCATCCCCGGCACATCCCGAGTGGAGCCGGGGCCCAAGGCCCCAAGTACTAATGCTGTCGACTTACGGACAGCACTGAAGTCTGCCCCCATCATCATAACAGACCAAGGCATGGATCTCACCTCCTTGGCTACTGAAGCCAGGAAGTACTGCCTGACCTTGGACCACATCCCAAACCGGCAGTCCACAGCCATCCAGCCCTTGATCATCAACCTCAATGCCCAGGAGCAGCCCCATGCCATCATTGCAGCAGCCAGCACTGCCGGCCTGGCCATTGCCTCCCCCATGCTCCTCTCACAGGCCAAGCAGCCCATGGTCTATGGAGACCCTTTCCAAAGCCGGGTGGACTTTGGGCAGGGTACCGGGAGCCCAGTGTGCTTGGCACAGGTGAAGCAAGTGGAGCAGGGTGTCCAGACGGCCGCTGTGAGAGCCAGTGGGGCATCCAGTGGCAAGCCTGAGCCTGCCCCCCTGCCCCAGGCCAAGTTTGCAAGATATGGCATGCCAGGCCAGATGGTGAAGAAGGATGTGCTCATCTCACAGACTGGTGGGGCACAGAACATTAGTGGCCTCCCACAGCCCTTCCCACCAGAGCCAGGCTCAGAGCTGTATCGGGCAGTGCCAGTGGAGCTGAAGAGCCAGAGCCCTCTCCTTGCCCTGGGTGGCAAGAAGTCCCAGGTGATGATGGTGCAGATGGAGGAGGCAGCAGGTCCAGTGACCAAAGTGCTGAAGGAGGAACCACCAGCCAATGTGCTGGACCTCACAGGTGTGAAGGCAGAGAGCCAGGTGGCCTGCTGTGACGTGGTCTACAAGTTCCCTTTTGGTGGTAGCTGCACTGGCACTTTCAACCCCACCTCCAAAATGCCAGAGAAAAAAGCCGGGGAGGCGGCAGCACCTGGCCGGAAAGCCAGCGGGCCCCTCTACAGCAGCAGAGAGCCAGAGCTGCCAGACACCTTCCCTTACCAGGAGCAACCAGCCCCAGCACCCTCGCTCTATGAGGAGCAGAAGTTTTACCCCACTGGCACCTTTGGCCGCCTCTACTCCTCCATGTCAGACACAAACCTCTCTGAAATTGGGATGAGCTACTACCCCATGAAGGGGGATCAGCCCTTCCACTCCCCAGCGGGTGATGCCGCTGTGGACCTCAGCACCATGAAGCACTCTTACAGTGTGGGCTTTGCTGAGGGGGGTTACCTGGGCCAGGGACTGCAGTATGGCTCCCTCTCTGACCTCCGCCAGCCAGCAGAGCTTCTGAGCCACCCGCTCCCTATGCGGAGGTACAGCTCAGTCTCCAACATCTACTCTGACTACCGCTTCTCACCTCGAGGGGACCTGGCCAGCTTCCAGGAGTCCAGCCTGGCTCACTACAGTGCCACCACAGCGCGTGAGATCAGCCGCATGTGTGCTGCCCTCAACTCTATGGACCAGTATGGGGGCCGGCACACCAACGGTCCTGACTTGCTGTCCTACGGCCCCAGCACTGGGCCAGGGGGTGCAGGAGGGATGGCGGCTCAGCAGCAAGGCCCTGCACCCCCCAAACCTGGTGGAATGTACAACCCCACCTTCCCTGAGGGACGGCAGGGCTTGGGCAGCCTAGCACAGTACAACGTCCCCGGAGTCCGCCTGGGGACTGTCCGGCAGATGTTCCCATCCACCGCCACGGTGCGGGCTGCTGATGGCATGATCTACTCCACCATCAACACGCCCATTGCCTCCACACTGCCCATCACCACCCAGCC